AGTTACAGGAATGATACAAATAACTTGCTTATATCTTCTTCGTTCACCAATTTTTAACATTTTGCCATGTTTGCTTTTTCATTTTTTCTTTATAACCATACATATTTTTCTGGAACCATTGAAAAATGGTTACAAACATTTTCCCCCCTTTGGCACCTCGTGGATATGGGCATCCAAACCCATGACCTTGGTGTTATAAAGTTGCACTCTAACCAAACACATCATTCACCCTTAATTCTGCAGTGTTTGTTTCCTAAGAACACAGATATTCTCTTAAGACTACAGTATAGTTTTCAGATTCAAGAAACAATATTATTTACTTTTTAACTACAAATCATTTTCCAGTTTTATCAACCATCTATGGTAAGCAGTTGATTTAGCACAATGACTAAGTTTTGTTTTAAAGCTGTGTTCCTGCCAGTATCTCTCCTCTCTAGATCTTTTTCAGTGAGTGGGTTTCCTCTTTTCTTCTTGCCCAGTTTTATTTTTTTTAGACAGCTTTATTAAGATATAATTCACATACAGTACAATCCACTCATTTAAAGCTTTCAGTTCAACTATTTTTAGTATTCCACAGAGTCTGTGCAGCCATCACTGCTATGGGTCAGATGTGTCCCCCAAAAGTTCATGTATTGGAAACTTGGTCTCCATTGTCACAGTGTTGAGATTGAGAAATCCAGTTATTGTATTTGAAAGGTGGGACCCGTCAGAGGAAATTGGATTGTAAGGACTGTGCCCTTGTGAATGGATTAATCCATTCATGAAATAATGAGTTGTCACGATGGCTTTATAAGGAGAGCAAGTGAGAAGTTTAGCTCTCCTGCTCAGCCCCGTCTTTCCGTGTGATACCCTGAGTTGCTATAGAGAGTCACCCCACCAAGAACAAGCCCCTCACTAGATGTGCCCCCTGGGCTGTAGACTTCTCAGCCCCCAAAACTGTAAGAAATTGTCATCTCTTTATACATTACCCAGTTTCAGGTTTTGTTATAAGCAGCAGAAACGGATGAATACAATCACCACAATTTAATTTTACAACATTTTCATTCCCACTGAAAGAAAATCCTTCCCCATTGCAGTCACTCCCCATCCCTCACCCCCAACCCCCAGCCCAAGGCAACCAACCACTTATCTACTTTCTGTCTGTCCCTATTTGTCTCTTCTGGACATTTCATATAAATAAAATCATGTAATATGTAGCCTTCTGTGTCTGGCTTCTTTCACTTAGCCTAGTATTGTTTTAAGGTTCATCCTTGTAGCACACATCAGTACTTCCTTCCTTTTCATTCATGAATAATATTCTATTGTATGGCTAGGTTTTGTTTTAAACCTATTGCTTTGACTTCCCCAGATGCGGTGGGGAAAAAAAGAAATGAAGTGTCCGCTGAGCTTGCACTGAGACACACTCCCTGGCTGTCTGGGTGTGGCAGGGCAACATGCCTTCATGTGATGGTCAAGGGTAGCAAGAAGGGTTGTTAGTCTGGGCCACATACACAGGAGTGCGTCTTGGGGTCACTTTAAAGGGCCTGGGTTTATGCTTGCCAGTAAGGAATAGATGTTATAATTAGAAAATAAGACTGTTGCCTCTCTCATATTTTGAAGTAGTTTAACTATATAAATGGAACTGAGGTCTAGTTCTTACTACTATTTTAAATAATAGCTCTCTTGAGATGTTGTTCACATACTATACAATTCGTGCTTCTAAAGTGTGCGGTTCAGTGGTTTTTATATATTCGTACAGTTGCGTGACCATCACTATCATCTAATTCCAGAACGTTTTCCTAACCCCCAAAAGAAACACAAACCCGTTCGCAGTCGTTCCCCACTCCCCTCTCCCCCAGTCTCTGATAACAGCTCGTCTACTTCATGTCTATGGATACGTGTTTTATTCTTTTGATGCTGTTTAAATGAAATTGTTTTTTAATTCTTTTTTCATTGTTCATTGATAGAAGATGCTGTCTGTAAGTAGAGTTAGTTTAACTTTTTCTTTTCCAATCTAGATACCTTCTCCCTTTTCTTGTCTAATTGCTAGCCTGCTACTTCTTAGGAAAGCTCTTAAAGGTACAAATGTTCTTTATTTCAATCAATTGAAATATTTCATGAACACACAAGAATTAGAAGCAAGATTCCAAATTTAATTTATAGATTCAGGGAATCTAGAGCATGAAGTTACACAGTGATCTGAGGAAGGGAGGGAAGTTGTAAGTGGACACATTATACACCATGCCATGGACCAAAACATTGACCTAACCAAAAACTCAGCTTGGGTTTTCAAAACTTTTTCTTCATGGGAAAAGTAAAAGTGGTAGAAATAGAATTGGCAGGATTCACTTTACTGTTAGCTTTATAGGACCATCTTTTCCATAAAGCAAAAGGTATCTTTTTATCAGAACTTCAGTTTGTCATAATGAAGGTAAAACATTATATGAAGTTTTGACTAAGATATTATTTGTGAGGTAGAATTAGTATAAATTCTGTTGGTAATTATGAAAATTGAGCAATTGAAAAGAATAAACTTAACCGACTTGAAGAATCACAATGGAGTGGAAACTGCCTCTAAAGAGTGTTGTATACAATCCTTTTAGGATATTCTGAGTCACTTCCTATCAGAAACCATATATATATATATATACATACATTATATATATATATATATTTTTTTTTTTTTTTTTTTTTTTAAGATGACCGGTAAGGGGATCTCAACCCTTGGCTTGGTGTTGTCAGCACCACGCTCAGCCAGTGAGCTAACCGGCCATCCCTATATAGGATCTGAACCCGTGGCCTTGGTGTTATCAGCACCACACTCTACCGAGTGAGCCATGGGCCGGCCTCAGAAACCATATTTTATATATATATTTTTAAAAGCGTGATGGCAAGGTCGGGGGCTCAGAGCCCTGTTGCATTGCTGGTAGGAGTGCAGGGTGATGCAGCCACTGTGCAAAGCAACGTGCTGGGTCCTCAGAAATTAAACATAAATAAGAGTTACTGTGTGACCCAGCACCTCCACTTCTGGGTGTGTACTCAAGAATTGAAAGCAGGGACTGGAACATGAATTTGCACACCCACGTTCATAGCAGCATTCACAGTAGTCAGGTGGAAGCAACCCATGTGTCCATTGATGGATTAGTGGGTAAATGTGGTATTTTATTCAGCCTTAAAAAGGAAGTTCTGACACATTACGACATGAGCAAACCTTGAAGACATTGTGTCAAGTGAAATAAGCTAGTCACAAAAAGAACAACTATCGTATGATTCCACTGGTCTGAGGTGTCTAGAGGAGTCACATCCATAGGGCCAGGAAGTAGAATGGTGGTGACCAGGGGCTGGGGGGGGTTGGAGTGGGGAGTTAGTGCTTAATGGGGACAGAGTTCCAGTTTGAGAAGATGAAAAGGTTCTGGAGGTAAATGGTGGTGGTAGTTGCACAAAATGTGGGTGTACTTAATGCCACTAAACTGTACACTTTAAAAATGGTTAAAATGGGGCCGAGCCCGTGGCGCACTCGGGAGAGTGCAGCGCTGGGAGCGCAGCAGCGCTCCCGCCATGGGTTCAGATCCTATATAGGGATGACTGGTGCACTCACAGCGCTGACTGGCTGAGCGTGGTGTGGCCGGTCTCAAAAAAAGACAAATAAATAAATAAAAATGGTTAAAATGGTAAATTTTATGTTATGTATATGTCACTACAAAAAAAAATTTTTTAAGCAGTCATAGTATTGTCTTTGGACTTGAGATACTAGGCTTTGGCTTTAAATAACCTTCATCCAGCCTATGAAAATTATTAGGTTTTTCTGTCTTTATAAGTCTGTTTAGGGCTGTACTACAGTAGGTAAAGATCTAGAAGATAGGATTGTTATAAAGAGTAAATCCAAAAGAAATACCATCCGAAGTAATCTCTGAACCCATTTCTCAGTGAATCTTGTTATGATGAGGACATTTTTTCCCTGTATCAAGCCCTTTGCCAAGTATTCATCCTACCTTCATGGGATTTCACTGTGTGGTTCAGACCTTGAATATCTTGCTCCTATGTGAGCAAGGGAACAGGCTTCTTGAAAATATGTGTCACTGATGCTTTTGAAGCATGTTTTTTCACTGTTAGTGAAAGCAGTATTCTACAGCCTTCTAATTCTATATTGTAATAGAGTCTGGAGTCTCTTAAACATTCTCAAGGGACTAGTGTGAAGGTTGACGTGTCATCATTTGTATAGGCTTGACTAAATGGTTTTAAAAGTACATCTTTTCTTATTATTCAGGTCAATCTTGGAGAAGGAGGGACCAAAGTCGCTTTTTAGAGGCTTGGGTCCAAATTTGGTTGGAGTTGCACCATCAAGGTAAGCATTAAACTTGCCAGCTAGTTCACTGCTAACAATATATCGTATAATGCTGAGTCCTTTCTTACCAAAGGGTGATCCTGCTAAATGACCAGTTTCTTTTTCTGTGTTGGATTTGCGTAAATGTTTCTGACATAGAGAAATGGTCAGTGATAACTGTGGGTGTGTCTTTGAGTGTGTGTGAGAAAGACGTTCTAGTTATTTTATGAAGTATGAAAATTAATCCGCAATCACCTGTAATCTACTTTAAGTGTGTGTTTGCTGCTCGAAGTAGGGTATGTGGTCAGTGGCACTGGTGCCATCTGGGAGCTTGTTCGAAATGAACTCTCAGGGCACACCCCAGACCTATATCAGAATGTTTTAACAAGATGCCCAGATGATTCATACACACTTGGAAATGGTGACCTTGAAAGAGTTGTAGAGGCTTCTAGGCTTTATATAAAACTATACCCTCTTTTTCTTTTCTTTTTTTTTTTTTTAACAAGGCTTAATTTTCTTTAAGGCCTGTTTAAATATATAGAGCTGCACTGTCCCAATACAGTAGCCACTGACCACATGGAATTGTTTAAATTTAAATTAATTAAAATTAAAGATTCGGTTTCTCAATTTCACTAGTCACATTATCCACAAGTAGCTAATGGCTAGTGTATTGAAGAAGGTAGATACAGAACATTCCATCTTTGCAGAAAGTTCTGTTGCACGATGCTGATAGGATAACTGGGTGGGTACAAAAGTGAACATAGGAGACAGAGAGAGGGAGACAATGTGTTGATAAGAAACTGCTTCTAGAAGTGGCCTCCTGGGAGGAGAGCTGGCTAACAGAGGCAGGACACTTACATTACCATGTAATACTTGAATAGACTTTAGAGATAATTAAGCCTTGTAACAAAAATGAGACTGTCTTACATAAGGTGAAGACTAAACACTTACAGAATTCTTCCGGATCTATATGTAGTAAATAGAATAAGAGTCTGTGTGCTGTAAGCATTGCTAATATGGTGGCCCTGTTAATCTGATGTAGATTCCTAGCTACCACAACCTTTTATTTATTTATTTACTTTTTTCCTTTTTGTCTTTTTTCGTGACCGGTAACGGGATCGCAACCCTCGGTGTCGCACCCGCACCGAGCTCAACCAGTGAGCAGACTGGTCTCTATATGGGATCCGAACCCTCCGCGGGAGCGCCACCGCACTCCCAAGCACCGCACTCTACCGAGTGCGCCACCGGGCTGGCCCTACCACAACCTTTTAGAACAATTGGGATTTAGGATATAAGGAAGACTCAATAATGATAACACAATAATGATAAGTAGCCAAGATCCACAGTTGAAAAAGTATTCTATGATTGATCTACCAGCAAAGAAAGCATTTTCTCTGGCATTGCCGGTGAAAGAACAGGGAAAATCCCAAGCAGCCCCAACAAGAGGAAAGACAGAAGGAGGAAAAGCTGACAGAGAAGAAAAAGAAAAGATTGGGGGTAGGGGAGAGACTGAAGAACTGAATCTTAAATTTTAATTTAAACAGCTCCATGCAGCCAGTGTGTATTGTACTGGCACCCTGCAGCTCTAAATATTCAAACAAGCTTTAAAGAGAATTAAATTAAGCCTTATAAAACCTGTAGCAGGTTTCGATTTTAGCACAGGTGAGGTCAAGTGTTTGGTTACATCAACTTCTTTCCCTTATTATCTTTCTAAATTTTCAGATGTTTTGCAGAGGGCCATGTATGTTTTCTAGTGTCATGATGACTTCTTCATAGTGTTCTCTCTTTGTTCTAACAGGGCTGTGTACTTTGCATGTTACTCCAAAGCCAAAGAGCAATTTAATGGCATTTTCGTGCCTAACAGCAATATTGTGCATATTTTCTCGGCTGGCTCTGCAGGTACGTTACCCGACTGAGTAAGAGTGTCTCACTTTCCTAAAGCATGCGTCTTGCCTAACAGTGTTTTTCAAGAATTTTAGCTTCCTGCTTCTTTTGTTCCTAAAGTCATTATTCTAAAGCTTTATGTGGTAGAATGAGTGTGTGAGAACAGTTTGTGTAGCTTGCTTTCATTTTCTGTGACCACTAAAGCTTTTTACTCTCCCTCAAAATTTACATGTTGTCATGCATGCTACTGGTGTTGTTTCTTCTAAAGGAATATTAATGGGTTTTTCTTGTCTGTCTTTTTTTCCCATTGAGTTACTTTCTAAAATTAGAGCTTTGTTTGTGACTCCCACAGTGTCCAGCACATCCTGTGTACAGTCGGCACTCCGGTCCTTAACGACTGGATTGTGCAGTGCGGGCTCACGGCCTGGAGTGGGGTTTTATCAGTAGGGTCAGTGACAGCTTAGAGAGCTTCTGTTCTCTTTTGAGGGGGTCATTCCAGTTACTACAGAAAATTCACAGCAGGACTTTTTCCCCAGGAAGTACTTGGCAGAAGACATGGACTTGTAGATTTCTGAGAAAAGACTCTTTTTATAGAGAATTTTATGTCCACTTAAATAGATATTTTAGAAAACCTAAATGGGCGTTTTGTGAAAAACTCCACCTTCTGCCAGCCTGTGATGTGTACGCACCAGTTTTGTCTGCCTTCATTACTCCAAATAAAAGCACTAGCAACCCATCTGAATATTTATAGATAAAAATTTCTGGACCCTGAATAGGAAATCATGTTAAACAAAGCTGTTTCACAAAAGAGAAAGGTATTTCTACTTAATACGGAGCTCTGAGGAGATGATGAAGAATTCAAGTACAGGTCTGTCTTCACTTAATAGGGCAGTAGTGAGTTAGTCATGAGTTCAAAGCTATTACTCAGTTTTCTTCTAAGTAACTTTTGCTAAGTTAACTTAGAAGAACCCTTCGTAAGTAAAGCAGACCTCGAGAGTTTTTTGAACCAGTATTTTCCTAGTACCTAATTAATCTGCTTACTTGGGACTGTGGAGGGCAGGGAGGGATTAGAGAAGACTCAGACTAATACCATGGGGTTGCTTTTTTTGGTCGGTCTGGAATGATTAGCAGTGTTAAGATGGGAAAGGCTTACTGAGAAAAATGGGTCCTGTAAGCCAATCAGTCTTAAAACTTCAATTTCCTGAAATGATCAAGTTTTTAAATTTCTAAGTATAGATTCAGGTCAATGGAGATTTAATTCCTTGTGGTCTGAGTTAGGTATAGCATAACCTTTTGGATTAGATCAGCAACTTTTTTAAACAAGTTATTTCTGAATCTGAAGCTTTTAAATTGAGTTTTAGGATAGTTTCACATTTACCATAGGAACGACATTAACAGAAGTATCAACAGCACCACCTAGAGGTTGAAAAGAGACAGGGCTCTGGCAAATGAGAGTTTCTTGTAGGTCGGGCAAAACCAGTAGATGTTAGTTACTATTGGGATGTTACAGTAGATGTTACTGTAGATGTTTCTGCAGTGGAGTATAGAAATGTAACTGCTTCGTACTGTCCATTTTTATTAAACTTTGAAATCAGGACTTCAGTAGCTCATCGCATGATACAGACAGCTTTAATAAGTGTTGACTGTCTACAGTGGTGACTTTTTCTGGGTTTTTTTTCCTTTCAGCTTTTATCACAAATTCCTTAATGAATCCTATATGGATGGTTAAAACCCGGATGCAGCTAGAACGGAAGTAAGTTATTAATTGTTCCTTCCTTAATATAAGAATTCTTGGGGATTTTGTTCTTTTCCCAGTGCCGACTGTGGAGTGAGATGTACTCAGCCATCCCCTTGCTTATTTTGTTCTTGGTCTCAGCATGTGTAAACCCCTTTTATTTTGAGGTCTATACTGCAAGTACTGTAGGGAGAGGAGGGCCAGCAGAGAGGACAAACCAGGGAAGGTAGGGAATTCTCTCCGTTGTGGGCCTGACTTCCTTCACAGACTCCACCCCGGCTGGAGCTGTGGACTCTCCTCCAGAGGGCCTCTCTTTAAATGGGAAGAAGCCAGTAAGGACAGAACAGTAAATGCCTTCAGGCCTCAGGGTAATTTTAATTTCCAAGGCCCTCAGACGTACTAGATTGCTGTCCTGAAACTCTAGCTAGGGGATCTTTTGTGCTGTCTAGTGGAGCCTGTGGGCCCTTTTTAGAATAATATTTGTTAATTTTTATTTATTTCATTGTACTTTTTTTTTTTGGCGGCTTGCAGTAAGGACCTTGGTGTTACCAGCACCATGCCCTAGCCAATGAACAACGAGCCGGGCCAATCACGGTACACTTTATGGGCCTTTTTAGAGTAACGTTTTTTAAAGTGATGGAAACCAATTATTGAAATAACAGTTATCAATATTAAAAAATCTGTTATATAGTATGCTTTAACACATTAAATAACAAGATCTAGTATCAGTAACTACTGTAATTTCAAAGAAGTGATTATGATAAATGATATCCTATATTTGTGACAAATGTAATATATAAAAATATTTCTATTTGTGCAAAATCACAGGTACTACAAATACTACTGTGGCCTGTGACCTACATTCATAATTGAAAGAATGCTGATTTCAGTTAGGGATTACAGTTAAAGACACCATTTCTCCCCCAGTCCAAGGTCAAGGAACTGTCTAGATTCTAGTAAAACCCCTGTTGGTACTATGTTGCCTAGAAATGTTTGTGCTGGAAACTTGCAATTAGTTCAGAGTGACTTTCAGCTTCCTCTAAAGAAAGGAGGTAACAGCAAAAACGCCCTGCCTAGTTCATTCTTCTCTCTAGTGATCACAAGTGAATTGGTCTTTAACTCCAGCTTCCCTAATTCATTCTGCCTTGAAGAGTCTTCCAAAGTGCATAGGTCTAACCATTTGAACAGATCCCTTTCCAAGGATCCGCTATTGAATCTCAGTTACTCTCAAGGTAAATCCAAAACCCTTGGCTTAGCATTTAATGGTCCTCTACAATTTTCCAAAATGTCTTGCACTCTTATGCTTCCATCTACCTGAGTCTGCTGTTCCTCACCAGGAGTCCCTTTTCCCCTTCTTGGTTGTGCTGACAACCTCATCCTTCAAGCTTCAGACCAGCATCCTTTCCAGAAAGCCTTTGGTGATTGTTTTGATAATCACAGCTCCAGGTGTCTCCGTAGTCCAGTGGATAAATGCATTGGTCAGCTGAGAGCATTTTTTCGCACTCTTTTAAATTTGCCTAGTAATGATCATGCTCACGGCATTCCCCTCCCCCACAAAAGCATTTGTTAGCATTTCATGAACCTCCCTTCTTGTGGTTTCTTTTTTTTTTTTTTTTTTTTTTTTTTTTTTTTTTTTTTTTTTTTTTTTTTTTTT